AGGACTCCGGGCGGCTAACAATACTACCTTACTACCCTCCCGGCCTTCCACGAAGCCACCAAGTCCTGGCTGTTCCAGCAGGCTGGGTGGGGGGGTGGGGGTGCTGAGAAGCATTTATCTCCACGGAAATTGTGAATGTTGGTTTTGTTTTTAATATGTTGTCTTTGTCTCGTTCCCCCCTTTCCCTTGTCTTTTGTGAGCTGCCCGGAGTCCTCCAGGAGTGGGCGGCATACAAGACAAATAAATAAATAAATAAATAAATAAATAAATAAATAAATAAATAAATAAATAAATAAATAAATAAATAAATAAAATATTTAATAGTGTACAAGGAGTCAGTCCTTGATTTACAACTGGTTGCTAGGAACTATTTGAAGCTTATTATTTGTTTGTTTATTTGTTTGTTAATCATGTAAAAGTTAATAAGTATAGTTATTTTTAAGTATTAAAGGACAGATGACTGAGGAGAGTTGCTTCACAACTGTTTATTGCCAAGTAACATACAAATGAACAGTGCTAACAAGAAGAGAACAGAACCAGGGCAAAACAGCCAGCTGACAACTATTTATACTGACAACTGTCAGGCGGGGAACCAATCAGGACACGGTAATTCTCCCGCCGGCTGGCAGCCACACCAGAACCAACCAGATCTTCCTGATCTGGCTTTAGCTGCCGGCCGCGTCCGGGAGGACGTAACAGTTATGAGCATAAACATGAACAAAGAAAATAAATACAGATAATTTCACATAATTCAGATAAGTAAATTCAGATATGTTCTGAGAGATCTACCTGGGAGGGCTACTTATAACCCAGATTTGAAGTTTTGATAAAGTTTGCTTCTGGTTTTTGGCAAAAATGACAATAGCATTCAATTGACTTAGGACTTCCAAAGCTTTTCTTTGATTAAAATGTATAGGATTTTCTTAACTGTAGCATTATCTAGTCTTTAATTCTTAAGTTGATAAAAAGCAACAAGAAAAAAGTTTGGTTCACAAAACACTAAAATCTTATGCTGCTATACACCGCAGCACTTTGAATGTCCAAATGCTATTGTTTGTTTGGAGCTGCTCCGCTCAAAGAATTGGATAGAGAAAGGGTCAGCATTAAACAGGCACACAATCCTACATTGCACACTCTAGCTGTGTCTCTTCTAACAAAAGCTTTAGAACAGGGGTATCAAACTCAATTTCACTGAGGGCCACATCAGGTTGTGTTTGACCTGGGGAGGCTGGGGGGAACGTGGCCATGGTGGGCATGACCATTTGATGTCACTCTTGTTGGTGCCTATGGTGGCGCGAATCCTTTGCCAGTGAAAACAGGCTCCCAAGCTCCATTTTCGGCTGTCATGACCTCCTGCAACTCTCTGCCAGTGAAAATGGAGCTCACACGCGGCCCTCTCGAGTTCTGCAGGAGGCTGTGGCAGCTGAAAATGGAGCTCAGAAGCCCATTTTCACTGGCAGAAACACTGCAGTCCAGTCTTTCGCTGTTTCCAGGGCAGACCTCCAGGCCTTGAGTTTGACACCCCTGCTTTAGAATATGAAGAATCAAATAACACAGCTCGAGTGCAATCTTCCTCTGCTTCTTCATATCTTATTGATAAGAGTTGTTTGTTTAAAAAATACTTATTACAGCATAATAATTTAATACAGTTTTGGACCCTTAAAGCATAGAGTAATTCTCACCCATTCCAATCAAGGTTTTCATATTTTTATGTTAAGGTATAAATGAAAAATATACACTAGAATGCATGTTAAATCATCTCAATGGATCAATGATCATGATATGCAGGCTCCATTATGGTCATAATTCAAGACTGCTTTTATCATCTTTTTAATGGAGTACCCCAAGGCGGTGGAGTACCCCAAGGCTCTGTTTTAGGCCCAGTACTCTTCAACATCTTCATCAATAATTTGGATGAGGGGATAAATGGAGAACTCATCAAATTTGTAGATGACACCAAGCTGGCAGGAATAGCCAACACTCCAGAAGATAGGCTTAAGATACAGAAGGATCTTGTCAAACTTGAACATTGGGCACTATCTAATAAAATGAAATTCAATGATGAAAAAAGTAAGGTTCTACATTTAGGCAAGAAAAATGAAATGCACAGGTACAGTATAGGTGGTGCCTTGCTCAGTAGTAGTAACTGTGAGAAGGATCTTGGAATTTAGCTTGGAATATAAGCCAGCAGTGTGCAGTAGCTGCCAAAAAAGCCAACACAGTTCTAGGCTACATAAACAGAGGGATAGAATCAAGATCACATGAAGTGTTAATACCACTTTATAATGCCTTGGTAAGGCCACCCTTGGAATACTGCATTCAGTTTTGGTCACCACGATATAAAAAAGATGTGGAGACTCTAGAAAGAGTGCAGAGAAGAGCAACAAAGATGATTAGGGGACTGAAGACTAAAACATATGAAGAACGGTTGCAGGAACTGGGTAAGTCTAGTTTAATAAAAAGAAGGACTAGGGGAGACATGATAGCAGTGTTCCAATATCTCAGGGGTTGCCACAAAGAAGAGGGAGTCAAATTATTCTCCAAAGCACCCGAGGGTAGAACAAGAAGCAATGGGTGGAAACTAATCAAGGAGAGAAGCAACTTAGAACTGAGGAGAAATTTCTAAGAGTTAGAACAATTAATCAGTGGAACAGCTTACCTTCAGAAGTTGTGAATACCCCAACACTGGAAGTCTTTAAGAAGATGTTGGATAGCCATTTGTCTGAAATGGTATAGGGTTTCCTGCCTAGGCAGGGGGTTGGACTAGAAGACCTCCAAGGTCCCTCCCAACTTTGCTATTGTATTGTATTGTATTGTATTAATAGTGGCTTGCCAGTCACCAAAAATGGAAAGTGAACGAGCAGCTAATAAAACAACACACCTTCCGCCAGTGATTGTGGAATTTAGGGTTGCTCTGATGATCATCATGACATTTTGCAGAAGAGAATATCTAAATGCATTATGCAAAACACTCCAAATCTAATATTCCAATCTCAAGACCTCATTCTGAGAATTTCAAACTCGAAAGTCATTGTGTCCAACCTCAAAATGAAACCCACTGGTTTTTGTTCCAATCTGAAAAGAAAATTAGGCCCTGTTCATTGCTTTGAGAGTCTCCGTTTGTGATTGGTGTGTTAAAATTCAATGTATTTAGAATATATATACATCATAGATAATAATGCAACCTGCTGCTCTCAGCCAAGAACAAGGAAAGAAAGGCATGGCAATAAGGAAGAAAAAGCAAAATATTCACATCACAGAAATGTCATAGTTTCTCTTATCTCAGCCAGTGGTCCACAAATCTTGAAAGCCTCATCCTGCAATTTCAGTTTTTTTCCAGTAGCCGATTCAAAGGCTTAGAAACAGGTTTCTGCATGTGCTTAGCATGGAGCTTCTCTCAGCTATAAGAACTGTAGGATGGGAACCAATATATTTGAATATTTTGAGGGGGGGGCAGATGACCCACACAAATATTTCTTGGAATAAAACTTTGCTTCAAAGCTTTGCACAAGGCTATTAAGCACCAAGGTAATTTTGCTGGATTTCAGTTGTTGATTCAGTTGGGTCAGGCAGAAGATTGGAGGTACAAGAAACAAGTTTTGCATTACCACACTCAAACTTAAGAACTGAGGGAGATCGCTCACATTACTTTCCTCTTTGCTTGGGGGAAATGAGAATTGTTGAGCAATCTGTGTTGTGTTTTGTATTGGGATTTCGTTAGCAACTGGACTAAATAAATATTAAAACCACTCCTAGTGCTGACAAAGTTTTAGGTTAAAAGGTGTGAATGTGGTTGGCTTTGTTTATCCCCCCCCCATCAGTTTTATTATGGATTCTCTGTACACTCCCTCAATACATATCATCTTCCAGGCTGGATGCTAAATGCAAAGACTGAGAGATGCTTTTTAGTGGCACCATTTCCATCCTAACTTTCTAGGTAGCATGGTTTCTATAAACAAAGGCCATCTCTTATGTAAAGCAGGAAGATAATCGATGGGCTATTTGCATCCCTATGAAGAAAGTTAGCAGCCACTCTTAGAAGAATGAAATATTTCGGGAAATATTAAGAAGGCAGAATATTGTATTTCCCTGGATGAGAAAAAGAGAAAGAGGTTTTTTAAAGACTGCCCTGCCCCCAGCAGATATTTTGGTGCACATTGAGACTGGGCCACTCTATGTACAAAACAAAAGACCTCAGCTCCAGGGTGATGGGATTAAGACATGACCTTCCAGGACATACTAGGATTATCTAGCTCACCCCATGGCACAACTAAGCCCCTTCATTACATCACCCAGCAAGGTTCAACCAAACAAAAATGACTCCACATGGGAATCTGCAACCAATAGGTTACGTGCCGTTGCCACAGGAACAGGATGCTCAAGTTCAAAGCCCAAGAGAGGGTATAAATAACATTCACTCTCCACTCCATGTGTTCAGCTACCCAGGACTTCAAATCCATATGGTCTTGTTCACCATTAAGCTATCCTTCCAAGCAGCCTTCATGTTTCCAGTGTCTTTCTCCCCACTTGGAACTAAACCCAGATGGACATTTCTTCCAACATCTGCCACAGGTCATTTTCTACTGCTTCTGGAGCTTTCCTAGATAGTACCAGTGAAATTTGACAGCAAAGAGGCAAATGAACCAAAGTGAGAGTCATTTCCTGCTGATTTTCATGGAGCAAATCAATTAAAACCTGTTCTAAAGCAAAATTTTAACAAGGTTTGAAATTCCTGCTTCTGCTCCTCCAGTGAGTTTCTTACTATTGCTCACTACTAGTGGTGGGTTTCACATTTTGTTACCACAGTTGCGGGTGTCCGCACCCCTAACAGGGATGTGCCCAGCCTTTCATGCATGCGCTTTGCTCTCTCTCACACCTTCCACATATGTGCCCAGCCTCAAAAACATGCCTAAATAGGATGGCATAGAGCCGGGGCAGGTGGGAAGGCCCATCCCTGATTTCCACTACCAGTGAAACTGGTCCGAACTGGCCGAATACCACCTCTGCTCACTACACCACTAGTGCAGGGGTCTCCAACCTTGGCAACTTTAAGAATTGGGGACTTTAACTCCCAGAGTTCCTCAGCCCAGAGTTCCCAGAGTTCCTCAGCTTTGCTGGCTGAGGAACTCTGGGAGTTGAAGTCCCCAAGTCTTAAAGTTGCCAAGGTTGGAGACCCCTGGTATAGTGGACCTCTGGGATAGTGGACTCTGGGAGTTGAAGTCCACAAGTCTTAAAGTTGCCAAGGTTGGAGACCCCTGGTGTAGTGGACCTCAGGCCCACTACACCATTTGATTTGCAAAACAGCAACAACAACACAACATGAATGGAACAGCACAGTCTTCAAGGCTTCCGATGTTATGCAATATTCCAGCTGCAAATTTGGGGCAGAGAATCTGAAACATGCTTCATAGATAGATTTGCTTCAATGGCTATAAACTGACCCCATATTAAAATGCAAATCCAGGGAACAACCCTCAGTAACACATCAAATTTGTATTTTTCTCCATGAACTAGATGTGGTACACAGCGTTCTTCCTGCAATTTGCCTATGGCGTGGAAGCAAAAACAAAGGGACAAAGCAATTTCATCTAAGCAGCCGAATAGAGTCATTCAGTGTCGCTACCCATATCCTGCATGCTTTCAAGCCTCTACAACATCAACATGGGTCATTCTGTTTTCTCCACCCAGTGGTAATGTATCTGTATATTTTCATTTTTTTTAAAAAACTTGCTGTAGAAAAAAGGGACATTTTGTAGCCGTTGTTATATGGATGTTTTACTGAACTGGCAACATGTCACGTTTCTCAGAAAATTCTTTTAGAGTCGTCGTCCCTGCCCCGAAGCTATTGAATTAATATTTAATTAATATTCTCTGCTCACTTTCATAAAACCAAATTTCATTAAATATAAACGGGTCTCCTGAGAAAAACTGAGAGTATCAGGTTGTACAAAATAGAATAAAGTAAGAAAAAAAAAAGGAAAAAAATACTCGTTTGATTCATCCATGCCACCACCCATCCTCTTTTTTGGGCTGGAACTCTAGAATGGCTAGAAAGTGGGTGGCCATGAGTTCTAATCCTGCCTTAATCACAAAAGCATTAACAGATTAACACAGTTGGAAGGGACCTTTCAGGTCATCTAACCCAACCGCCTGTCCAAGCAGGAAACCCTACGTCTGCCTTTACCTAGGTTCGAACTCACAACCTCCTGTTTGTGAGGTGAGAGTGCCACCTCTAGGCCACAGCATGAGGCTGTGATAATAGCTTTTGACACTGGGCCACTCTCTCTCTCTCTCTCACCTCACCTCAACTCATAGATTTGTTATAGGGAAAATAGGAGGAGGAAGGTGTATTGGATATGTTCAATGTTATTTGTAAAAAATAATGAAGGATACAAGTAAATAAATAATCCTACAGAGACTGTGCCTGCAGTAAGCAACAACACCTATGTCTTTAATCTTCCTTTCACGTGATTTGATGGATTCATTTACCCCTGATAAAGCTAGCCCTCCCTTACAAAATAGCTGCCTGCTGCTTACAGTTCCTATAGTACTTTGCACATTGTTGCAAACAAATAAAATATTCCAGCACTAGCAAGTGTTAACAACTGAGCTCTGGTCAGATTTGGATAATTTACTGGTAGTTGTGGAAGGGAAGGGTGACATTCTTTCTTTTTTTAAAAACATATTTTATTCACATTTTTTCACATTCCATTTTACAATCACTTATATACAGGNGGAGATGAGCACCACCCCCTAGACTTAGGAACAACTAGCACATATGTGCAAGGGGAACCTTTACCTTTACTTAAATCGCAATTAAAACAAGCAAACCATGATTTTTATAGAATATGAATCCCTATGACATTTCCAAAACATTTTGGTCAGATTTTATTTATTATTCAGACTTAGATGTCCAGGAGGTATCATTTGTTCATAATATTAAGGAAATGATGTGAGGGGCACATGACATTAATTTTGTAACTTGTTAACTAACATAGTTATTTTGTATTTTAATTTAACTTATTTCTCTATCTTTGAAAATGGCGATAAGTCTTTATCAAACCATTATAGATTGGAATCTAGGAAAACTTTTTATCCTATTGCTATATGGATTGATTGATAGCTTTTAATATTGCTAAATTGGAAAGATAAATTATAGGAAGGATGAATGGAGAATATCTCCTGATTAAAAAAAAAGTTTGTTAGAGCTAATTCGCATCTGGTTTATCTTTTTGTGAACTTCAGATTACTTTTCATTAACAGCTTACATTTTATGCTCCTGATGTCAGACCTTATTTAAATGGACATACATGTAACACGATTGACTACATGTAACTGATTACTTTTATCCTGTTCAATCAATTTTTTTTTCTTGCATTTTCTTAGATGTGTTGTTAGCTATAAAAAGGAATGTAAGCTAAGGATCTGGGTTCCCTCTTTGTGTGAAAGGAATCCCTTTTATCTCAATATTCTGATAAATTGTAATTAAATGATCTTCCTGTCTCGGTTTGTCTCATTGGAAAATATGCATACCAAGGCATGGGTCTAACAAGCAGATCTTATGGGTGTTTTTGTACTGTTATGATGTCCCAAATGAAAAATGAGAGCTATCTTTTTGAAGATGCTCTCAATATGATACAAATAAAGAACAGACACAGAAATAAATGCATTATTTATAGAGGAAAAATCTTAGCTCACGTGTAACTGTAGGTTTCATACCAAAAGAGATGTTTCAAGTGCTATTTCTGTGGCTTAAGTTCCTACCTTATGTATTTTTGACACGCTTTATCTTCACAGGCACACATTTGGAGAGAGAAAGTACACATTTTCTTCGTGCAGTGTGCTACAGGAAAGTCTATAATCATTCGTTCTAAATGCTTCCAGAAACAGAAAAGTAGTGCCAAGTTCAGACACATTTACAGAACTTTACAGATTATCAATTCAAGCCATAAGTAGATGATGGTTTATAACATAGGCTACACCAGGATGATTTTTTTCATCCAGGATTTCTCTCTCTGTCTCTCTCTCTGTCTCTCTCTCTCTCTCTGTCTCTCTCTCTCTCTCTCTCTCTCCCCCTCCCTCCCTCTCCCCCCACACTCTCTCTCTCTCACACACACATAAAACAAGATCNATATTGCCCCCACAGTCTGGGTCCTCATTTTACCCACCTCAGAAGGATGGAAGGCTGAGTCAACCCTGAGCCGGTGAGATTTGAACCGCCGAACTTCAGCTAACAGCCAGCTGAAGTGGCTGCAGTACTGCACTCTAACCACTGCACCACCTCGGCTCATATGAGTAATATTCATATGTGGTTTTTGCAGCTCTCCTGACTGCAGCTTGTTAAATGAATAAAAGGTTGGTAATAAGAGAGATGAAATTGCAAAGCTGAGTGATACCTGCTTAATTTCTACTTGCTCTGGATCAGATCACCAAGGTTATCAAATTTCATTTGTGTAGTCACGCAGGCTTCTGTGCAAAATGAGCCATCCCTTAACAAATAGTGCAAATAAACCACCACAACAAAAAGTTATCAAATATTCCCTGGGTTATTACTTTAGCAGCATGCTTGCTTCATTATCTCCAGCTTATCTTTGTGTGTTGAGCCATTTAAAGCAATAAAATGGAAACAATATAATAATCCTCAAAATAGCTTGTGCCAGATAAATGCACATTTCAAACATCTTCCCAATGGTACAATAATTTGTTCTGGGAAGAGTTTATCAGTACAATAGATTGTTCTGGTTTCTAGACTGCTTAAATACTGCTCCCCTGAAACATGTAATCATTTGGCAATACAATTGTTTGGCTTCATATGCCCATCACTAAAAATATAAGGGGGGGAGATACTAGATTTTTCTTGGTGGATGGTTTCATTAGCTGCTTTGTTATCTCTGTTAACTGTATGAGAATTATGCCTTTGCAGATTGCTGAAAGTCAACAACTTTGCTCCCACCATTGAATTTCAAACATCAAAATGTCCTGTTGTATAACAGCATCTCAAATGAGATGGCACAAACATTTGCCATTCGGTGCTAGGAAATAAGAGGAGTTAGAATCGTTTACAGGATTTGAATAGGAATTCCACTGAAGCAATACCAGGACCTATTTGAGCTTTAAAAAAAACTAAAGCAGCTAACTCTGGGGTACAAATATATCTAGTGAGCATTTGGGTTTTTAGAGCCACATGTAGTTTTTCCCTGAACGCCATCACTCTACTAAACAAATAATTCCCTCAACACTGTCAAACTATTTATTAAGTCTGCATTGCTATTACTATTAATCTTCTCATCGTTCCTATCACCCATTTCCTCCCACTTATAACTGTATGACTGTAACTTTGTTACTTGTATCCTTACAATTTATATTGTTTCCTAGTATGATTTGATAGTGTACAATTAGTACACTATCACTATCATTAATTGCTGTACCTTATGATTCTTGACAAATGTATCTTGTCTTTTTATGTATACTGAGAGCATATGCACCAAAGACAAATTCCTTGTGTGTCCAATCACACTTGGCCAATAAAGAATTCTATTCTATTCTATTCTATTCTATTCTATTCTATTCTATTCTTCTAGAAGCCCCTA